GGTGCAATTTGGCCACAAATAGACAAAAAAGCTGACGAAAACGTGGGGACTGCGCCCACCCTATAAGTCCCAAGAAGGGCGAGACCGGTCGTAGGCTGTCGAAGAGTTTTCAGCATCCTTGTGAGTAGTTTCCTTTTTGAAAATGTTCCAAATTACTGTTTCTTCGAGGATTAGTGAGGTATGACCATATTAGCGGCGGTGTACTGATCTTTTGGGATTATTCGTTTTGAAATGTTCTGTGGCCTGCGGCGATTTCGTCTAAGAAAAGTTATCTTATAGAACAGGTCAAATTGACACTGAACTATCAAGTTCTAAGCAAACAAGAAACGAATTTTGCTTGATGAGTATGCTTGTGAAGTATGGTTGAAACTATTCGATCAGGAAAAGAATCTTTTCAGTGTCCGGCCGCTTTTTGATTGTTCACGTACTGAACCGTCTGGATAGTTCATTTTTTCATCTGGATGTAGTTTAAAAGCTGAACTTCCAACTCTAGTGTCATGTGATTCTTGACCTCACTTGAAATTATCAAGCCATTTAAGGAAGCAGACTGCGTGTCATTCTGTGCACGCTAGATTCTGGATTTAACAACATTCATTGCCTGGGAATGGCCAGTGCAATGTAAACAGATTTTTGGTTTAAATCTTTAATTGATCTGTATGTGTTAGTAGTTGAACAGGCCACTTGAAGGTTATCGTGCAAGGTATAGTACCACAACACTGCTATTACTTTAGTTCACCGGGAAATCTCGAATACAAATGTTCTTTTAGTATGATCCATTGAATAGATCTAGGCCATTCATTCCATGTTTCAATGGCCCCTTCTGACTAAACGCACGTTTTGACTGTCATCGATTTATTCCAGCGGCGTCCGAAACTCTCCCTACCCGTAGGTTCACTAGTAAAAGGTCTAAGGTTAGGTGAAAACACTGTAAGTCATCAAATAGCATCATGATAACCAGGTGTCAAAATCCAGTATTCCCTCACGTGTGTCCTTTGAAAACGGTGCTCTCCCCTATAAAGCTAACCTGTCTTGACTCTCTCACTTTTGTACTCAGATATACCTGTGTGTTTTCCCATGATAGCACGCACTAAGAGTGGAAGTCATTGGCTCTTGGAATCCTGACCGCATTGGAAGTATAAACGGATTATCGACCAACTAAGTTTAAACCAGCATTAAATATCAAAAACTTGAATTCTAAATGAAGATTATACAGCGTACTACAGCGTAACGTGTACGAAGAGTGACGCCTCAAGTGAACACTGGCCTTCCTCTAAATGTATGACCACACGAGCTTCAAGATATTCATTGAAGGAGACTCTCCGCTTGTTGTTAAATTCTATAGGCTGAAAAAATGCCAACAATATGGCTACAGTTGAATAGGTTTTTGACGAAGTGATTTGCTGAACGGTCGTGCGGTCCTGTGTCGGTCTTTAGCTTCCTGCTCCCCCCACCATGGTATACTAAAAGGCACGGTAGCCTCAGATAGCCCTTTATGGAAATAGTGGAAGATTACTACAACCGTATTTGCAGGATCACCACAGAGTGTTCCACAAGATCACGCTAGAAGCTTTGTGAGGAGGCGGGACGCGTCGAACTGAAGATGCTCGATCCAGATCGGCTGATATTCTGACCAATCAATACATGCGTTCAACTTGCCCGTAGTCCGCACGTGACACATTCGCCCAATTGAAGTGGTGTTCGGCTTTAAGGAGCGGTCGGCCTACGGACACGAAGGGGCTCGGTGCAGAATGACGGTTGTTGAGTTGTTTTGAGTCACTCAAGCTGAACCTGGACATGTGTTGTTTTATCTGGCGTCTCATTCGTTGGCTTTACTGAGCACACTTTTTAGGCCTTTGTTAACGAGCTCATTAAGTCAGGCGTGATGGTTTTAGTCCATGTAGCCCACTTGTGAATTTTATACATTCGAATTCCGGGTTTCAAACGCTAACTTGTATATTTGTTGCTTATGTGATGCGTAGTTAGGAGCGGTCCTCTTCAGTCACTATTCGGTTTCTTAAGAGAACTAAGTTCCCTGTAGTTAAATTTGCTTCAAACCCTAGTTGAAAGATAGTCATAGGGCAGATGCAGTTCTGCCTTTCGAGATCACCGGTACCTTGTTACAGCTCTGTTATCCAGGCCATGAGGAAAAAACGGTAGAATAGAGATGAATACGTATTGTACAAAATATTGCGACACTACTTATTTTTCCCGGAAAGTCGGTAATAACACTGACCAACCAGGTACAAAAATCCAACAATGCTGTCAACTCTCAGCAGGTATTCAGATATCAAACTACCGAACAGAAACGTTCCGGGCATCTTGTTTTCTAGATGATCTGACTTGATTATCAGCGAAGATCACTAAACTCATCATGACCCTTCCACATGACGTCACTCAACACTATCTGCCCGTGACTTCTAGAGAGGTTCTATCTATCTATTCCGTATTTCATGTGTCTCCAGATCAAGATTTTAATGCGGAGGAAGAACAGTGATCCAGCTCGCGCATGCGTTCAGGCGGCTATTAGCTTCGAAGGTGGTGAGTTGATTCATTAATTGCAGTTTACCACAGTTATTCTCACCGTACACTTTAGCCGGCAGAAATTGCTTAACTTGCGCTAAAAGTGTATATCTGGATTCTGACCCATAAGAATTCTAGTTGGTTGTTTTTTATCGTTTGAACATTCCGTTCTTGAGTAATTATTCTGAACGCATCACACCAACTATTTTTGCCCTCAATATGATGTGCCCGAAGCAAGGTGTCTTCAGCAAACTGTTTGATTCCAGTGAAACAGACAACATAGCGTTCCGTCGGATGTGAACAGGATGTGAAGATTTTCATGAAGGAAACTACTCACAAGGTTGCTGTAAACTCTTCGACTCTTCAGCAACCTTGTGGGTAGTTTCCTTTATGAAACTATACTGCGATATCTCGAATATTGTGCCAACTGAAACATGAGGCGGCCGATGTGCAGTACATTCAGTTGGAGGACATCATAAACGAGAGATTCAATTGAGTCTCTCGTGAAAACCAAATTGATTTGCAAATGAGTGTATTTCTCGAAAAAAAGCATGTGAAGATCTCCCTGCTAGGCGGTAATGATGAGGTGAATGGCTGAATGGCTGAGTGGTAAGCTGATTGGTTGGCTGAGTGCTTGATGGATTGGTTGGTTCACTGTCTGGTTTGTTCGTGTTTATGTGCCATACGATTTTATCAAATAATTGACTGATTGATCGCGTAACTGAATTGCCAACCAGCCGGCTGATTTTTAAATGGAAAGGTAAACAAACAAACAATGTAATTGGTTGATCAGTTGAATGACTGAACATCACCACACCCGTCATTAAAAGCTTTAATGACATCTGTCACTTCCGCTTTGCGGATGATACATGAAGACAGATGGAGAGTGATTTTTCAACAATATTCACGATATGATTCATACCAACCGACAAACTTTTGGAGACTAACACTTGGTAGAGTTACAATAGAGTATACAATAGAGTATACAGTAGAGTATACAATAGGTCGTCGGGCTCAGCGCCAGAACAAACAGATTTGGATCGATTACATCCCAAATCAACTTTGAGTTTGTGGTCATCATCATCATCATCATCGACAGCATGACATCAGTGTTCAACACCAATGCGGTACAACCATGACTTATTTGAAAGCCTTATTGTAAAGAAAAGGGTAAAGGTGGACGGGGGAGGGACTTAGTGCTAGCTTAACACAATCATCCCGAGGTGCCTACACCTCCAGACA